ATGTACTGCAATAAATTATTGCAATTTAAATAAATGTATCTTTTATTTAATTAATATCTTGCAAAATATTTTATTTCAACTCATTCTTAATATAATCTATTAACCAATCAGATTTTGTAAAATTACAAAATGATCTACAAAAATTATCCAATCAGAATAAAAGCCCGCTATGCTATTTGTGTAACTATACCAACGCTAAAATATAGTAATATAACACTATTCCTTTCTTCCAAAAATTTTACTTCATAAAATTTAAGAATTTAGTAAATAGTTTGTAATAATAATAATATAAATATAAGGTAATAGAAGAATTTAAAATAAAGTTGACTAATTTTGAATATCTACATGTGTTTTGATCGTTGATGTAGTGTAGTTCATATGACGTATTCGTTTGGTTTTACTATAATCTTTTTTGTTGAAATTCCCATATTGCATGTGTTTTACAGAATTTTTGATTCTTCTTTTGCCTGATTTTCAAACTTTAACCAGTTTTTGTACTAAAATTAGCTTTTGTTTTCAGAATTGTTCATTTTTTTCCAAAATTAGTAAATTACATCATTGTTGTTTGTAATTTTTTTGTTAATATCATACAACAAGTTTTTTTTTGGCATGGGAAAATTCACATTGTTGTTGTGTGAAGTCTAGTTTTCATATTCTAAATTGTTTTTTGGTTTTCAAATTTGTTAATCACATCATTTTTGTTTGTAATTTTCTTTGTTACTACTATGTGAAAAAAAAAAAAATTTTTCTGTGAAAAATTTGTTTATTAGTCAACTTTATTTATATCCTGAATTTTCCTCTGTCTTCTAGTTCTTAAAATTTTTGCAATCAAGTTTTCCTCCTGGTACTTTTTTACTTCTATGTTTTTTTTTCTAAAAATTTCTTTTTTGTTATAACTTTCTTGTCTAATACTTTTTCTTCTTTTCTTTTTAGCTAAAATTTTGTAGAAAACTTCTTTTGTTTTGCCTGTCTTGCTACTTGTAATTTGTTGAAGATGTGTATACTTTTCGGACTATGAGCTAAACCTTTCGAGACAACCGCCAGTCTTTCACATCTGAGTGAGCTGGTGCCTTCATACTTGTTATGATTGAACACAGGCCTCAGTAGATAGTTTTTCCTTTGTAATTTCCTCTTTCTCTCTCTTTCTTTTACTCTCACTTTTAAATATATTACTTGAAAAAAGTATTCTTTTTCTAATGACTTTAGCTTGTCAGTTTTTTTAGATATCTCGCACCTCTTGAAATCAATCTGTTTCAGCTATAATCCAATGTTTTACAAACCAAGTCGCTAACTTGCAAGCTTGGTTGCAAGAGTTTGACCCTAATGAGATTGTATATCGAGAACACGACTTCAATTTGCGGCTTGGGCAAATGTGACTGGAGCGAAATAGTTTAATGGTCCAGGTCTCGAATTTGGCATCAGAGAATCAAGTACTGTGGATAAAGAATTGGGTATTGCAGAGTAGAATTAAGGAGTTGGAAAATAGTCAGGGTTTTACTTGGAAGAAAGTGATCGCTCTTTTTATTATTGTTTTTTGCATTAATTTTACTCTTTTTAATAAATTTTTAAAATATTATATCTAATAAAATTATTAAATAAAATGTTCTAAATAATAATAAAATAAAATCATAATCTATTGTTGTTTTTGGTATTTTCGTCTAAAAAGTTTTTTTTTTTTTGTATTTGAAGTTTAATTTTCTAAAGTCTATACTGAATTTTAGTTTTCCATTTTTCTTTTTGACTAGCCCAACAGGAGAGCTCCAAGGGCTTTCAGATTTTCGAATTATTCTATCTTTTTCCATTTGTTCAATTTCTTTTTTAATATGTTCTTGTTCTATAGGTGATGCTCTATAAGCTCGTTGTTTAATAGAGTAGAAATCGCCAGTATGAATAGTATGATATACAACATTGGTTTTACGTAGTTCGGAAAATTCAGTAGCAAATATATCAGCATTATCCAAAAGTAATTGAGTTATAGTTTGTTGTTGTTGGTTATCAAAAGTATTGCCAATAAAAGTTGATTTATCTTCTGTAATAGAGATGGATATTTTCTGATTTTCCTCTTAACTTTCTTTTATTTTCTTCATTTCTGGTTGTATAAGTCTAAATATATCATCTGGTTGATATTGAAGAGGATTATTAATATTCTCTATTTTGACATTGGCTATAAGTTGGTCCTCCAGTTGTGTAAAATTGTTACCAACTTGAATAGTAGTATACATTGGTTTAGTTATATCTTCTTCCTTTAACTTCAACTCTAATTCTTGATTAGAGTAAATGTTTTTAAAAGTTATAGGATATATAGTATTAGGATCCTCTATTCATTGCTTGCAAGATATTGGAATATGTTCAATTTGATCAGCAACTCCAATACTCATAACTTTACTATAATAATCAATAGTAGCTTGAACTTTATCCAAATATTTATTGCCAAGAACTACATTATATTCCTTTGACTTAGTTACTAACATATTTATATATACAAGTTTAGTACCAAGTAAGACAGGAATATTTTTGACTTGTCCTAGAGGTGTTGATTTGTTACCAGTAATATCAACAACTTGAACATTACTTGGTCCATCAATACTACGATTTACTCAATTAAGAAAATATTTAGCAACAACACATCCTTTAGAGCCAGTATCAACCAGAACATTAATAGTTACTTCCAAAACTTCAGCAGTTGTAAATAAAGCATCTTTTACTTGATCTGTTTGAATATCATCATCCATATCGAGGTTAATTTCTCCAGAGTTTAATCCAAATATTTCAACAATATCTTTAAAATCCATCCAGGGATCATTTAATTGTTCATTAATTATTATCTTCCAAGTTAAGTTTATCATCAATTTCATCCCACAAATTAATAAGATCTACTTCTTTATTAGATGAGGGGTTTGTGTTGGTGGTATGCTCACCCTCAGGAGATACCAATTCTAGTTTAAATGTTGACGCTGGTTATTGTTGTTGTTGTTGTTATTGTTGTTATTGTTATTATTATTATTGTTGTTGTTATTATTGTTATTTGGAGAAGAGTTATTATTGTTATAATTATTATTGTTATTATTATTTTGACGATTGTTGTTGTTGTTCTAGTTGTTGTTATTGTTATTGCAATTATTATTATTCCAATTGTTATTGTTATTATTTTGATTGTTATTATTTCAATAATTATTGTTGTTGTTACAATTGTTATTATTGTTCTAATTGTTATTATTGTTATTCCAATTGTTATTGTTGTTATTCCAATTATTATTGTTGTTATTGCGATTGTTATTGTTATAATTATTGTAATTATTGTTATTATTGTTTTAATTGTTGTTATTAGATTTTCTATTTTGATTCATTCTACAGTTACATGCACCATGCCCAATTTGTTGACAAATTGTACAATAAGGGGCAGTACATTTAGAAGCATAATGACTAGCTTGACTACATCTATGGCATCTATTATTGTTATTTTGTTGAGGTGATCTATAGTTGTTGTTATTATTAGAATTGTTATTATAATTGTTATTATTATAATTGCGGTATTGCAATTGTTGATTCTGAGCAATACTTTGTATATTTCTATTTAAACAGTTTATAGTTTCTAAAAGTTTATTAGTCCTTTTATTTTCTGTACTTGGGTTAGAGTAGCTACTTGCATTGGAGTAGTATATTCACCAAAGAACTGTGGCTAAAGTAAAGTAGGTAGTAATGAATAAGCAGAGAGCATACTTCCTTTGAAATATGCTACTTCTATAGCTTTAGCTTTTTTAACTACATCAGCTAAAGTAATAGGACTTTCAGACTATACATGTATTTGAAATTCTTGTCAAAGACTATCAATAAATTGTCTTATTTTATCAACCTCAGAATAAAGACCATCTGGATCTATTCTATGTTATAGTTCATCTAAAGCAGAGTTATATGCATCAACAGTTTCACCAGGTTTTTGTTTTCTATTTCTAAGAGTATAATGCCATCAAGATACTTTAAAAGGATCTCTGAATTTAGCCAGAAAAAGTTAGTAAAAAGCAGCATTGGCATATACAATACTATTCCAGTAGGTAAAAATGCGATAGTTTTGATTATACCAGGATAAAGCAGTTTTTTTAAAAAAATTAGATACAATAGCAATACATCAGTTTTCCGAAATATTATTACTGATACAGGCTCTGTTAAAAGCCTCATACCATTCAACAGGGTCATCATCATGACTTCCTGAAAAGATTGGAAAATCTACAAGTTTATATTCCTTAGAGTTAGTATTAGCAGTAGCTCGTTCTATATGATTTTGACTAAGTTGTCTAAGTCCTTTTATGATGGCCCTCATAGCATTTTCAGTATTAAATTCTTCTTATTCGTGCTGTAAATAGTTGTTTTGTTCATTATCAATAGGTACATGGCGTTTGTCAGCTCCTTGGTTTGATCTATCATTAATATACAGTTGAGTAATAGTATCATTTTGAGCTTCATTACTGTGTCTATTGTTTTCATTATTATTTCTATCTCGCATATTTATTAAAGTAGGTATTTGGTACATTATATGAGTAGATATTCTTTGACCAGACATGTTACTTAGATCTGAGAGAATATTTATAAAAAATTCGTCATATGGGTTTAAATTTGTATTTGTATTGATGTTATTTGATGTAGATGCTATATTAGTTGGATTGTGAGTAGTTGTTACAATTGTATTAGTTATAGTTTCTGTTGGTAGATTGTATATAGTATTATTAGTTAAATAAGTAGATTTAGCAACTAAAGCTGTCGTAGAAGAATTAGAGCTACTACAAGTAGATTCTACAATTATAGCTGCAGTGGAAGAAGTTTCAGAGTTACTATTGTTTTTCAATTGTATAGAATGATAATAAAGCCAGATGTTGCTATCCACTTAGCTATTAATTTAGGAACAATTTCACTAAATTCTTTTGGTGGTTGATTTTCCTGATAGTAACAAGTAGTTAATAAACTATGAAAATTTTTACTTTTATTCTCAGAGAAGGGTTGTTAATAGATTGCCCAAAATAGATCAATAGTATATCTAGAAAAACTTTGAGCTTGATATTTAAATTAAAACCAAGGCCAAAATCTTGAAAATTGTGCTGCTAGAGCAAAATTTAAATTTGCTGAATTACAGTTAAGACAACTAGGATCCGGTTTTGCTTTATATTTATTGCGAAGTACTTATTGGTTGGTTAAATGAACAAAATTATGTTGTTGAATTTGTTCCTTATATTGAGCAATATTCATAAAGAACTATCAAAATAGGAAGGCAATCCAGGTTGTTAAAGAGTTATAATAAGTAAAAATAAAAATAAATAAATAAATAAAATAATAAAAATAAAAATAATAATAATAATAATAATAATAATAATAATAATAATAATAATAAAGTAAGATAGATATAAGCTAAAATATAAGTATAAAAGAAAATATTTTAGTTTGTTTTATCCTTTACCCACTACATTGTGAAGGCCTTCTTTTTGGTATTTTGGTTATATTTTTGTTTGGTTTTTATCCTTCACCCATTACATTGTGAAGGCTCTTTTTATTGTGCTTTAGTTATACTGCTTTGTTATCATTTTTGAGTATTCTCTTTTAGGTTTCTTGTGTTTTATCATATATTTTGTTTTAGTTCTTGTATCAGTTTATTCTGTTCTTCTACACATTCCTTACTCTCTGTACGTTAAGTCAAGTAATATAGTTAACCGATTTAGGTTTTCTATGTTACAGTTTTGGCAACAATGACAGAGCCTGCTCTTCTTTGTATCTTTGTGATTTCCTAGCTTCTATTTATTTCTTTTCTTTTCTTTTATTTTTATTTTTATTTTAATTTATTTCTATCTTTATAAAAGCTTAGGTAGAAGAACCTGACCTGCCTTGGGGAAAAAAGCAGGGTTTATATAGCTTTTTGACATGCTAAAAACGTGTTATTGTTATCTTAAAAACATATCAAGATACTATATATCAAGGTACTATAGTAAGGTACTATAACAAGGTACTATGCCAAAGTACTATGCTAAGGTACTATGGCAAGGTACTATAATAAAGTACTATGCTAAGGTACTATGCTAAGGTACTATACTAAAGTACTATGCTAAGGTACTATGCTAAGGTACTATGCTAAGATACTATGCTAAAGTACTATACTAAGGTACTATGCTAAGGTATTATACTAAAGTACTATGATAAAGTACTATAATAAAATACTACTATGCTAAGGTATTATGCTAAGATACTATGCTAAGGTACTATGCTAAGGTATTATACTAAGGTACTATGCCAAGATATTATGCTAAGGTACTATGCTAAGGTATTATGCTAAGATACTATGTCAAAATATTATGCCAATATAACTTCAATTACAAACTAGTAAAAAGTCTACTAATAAATCTAATAGTATATATTTAAATCGTGATACTTAAACTAGACTATAAATAGTAATTTGTGTAACTATACCAATGCTAAAATATAGTAATATAACAGTATGTTTTTGAGATATAGACACCCTGGTAATGATCACTACCGGTTATAGTTAGATTAATTCTTTTCTGAATTAATATTGATATTAAAAATTTTTACAAAAAAGTTAATCACCAATGCTATTTATTATACTGTATATATATATATTTTTTTTTTTTAATATTGAGGTGACCACTTAGGCCCCTGGCACTTTATTAGTTCAAACGGGTGG